TAACCCACCTCCCCTCTAACAGCAGTCAGCCATTATCTGTGTCTATGAGTTTGCTAACACACATTTCTTATTAAAAAACAAAACAAACCTCTTTAAAAGCAGGAATTTAAGGATGCTTCTTTAAAATGACATGAATGTCTACCTGGAACCCACAGCAAATATTAATAATGACAAAACTCTAGAGGTTTTCCCAATAAAATCAGGAATAAGACATAAATTTTTGTGAAATATCTCTGGGCACCCTGGGTCAATTCACTGAGACACAGAACAAAAAATAAGCACTGGAAAAGAGGAGATGAAATAATATCTTTTTCGTTTGTAACTAGAACAATCAAAAGAGTCATTGCAAAGCTGTTGGAATTAACCAGAGAGGTCACTTGCTGAATATAAGGTGACTGTATCAAAATTGATATATTTACATACAAAATAACATTTAAAGAGAATGAAATTAAATAATCGTAAGATTTAATTCCTAAGAGCAATAGCCAAACATAAATACACATAAACCCCCAAAACTAGAAATAACTTTAGTGAGCAATGTTCTAAATATATATAAATAAAATCACACCACCTTTAGAAATTTCAAATAAAACTTGACTAAGTAGAGCTGTATACCAAGTTCTTGACTGAAAAGACTAAATAGAGTATGTATGCCAATTCTTCTCAAATTAATTTAGAAATGTAAGGCAATTCCAATCTGCACAAAAATATAAGTTTACCTTATAAACTTATCCTAAGGCTAGTTTGGGAGGATATAAACACTAGAATAGTAAATCACACATTTAAACCTACTACAGTCAAGCTATGGCTATGAAAACAAAGTGATACTAATATAGAGGACAGGCTTTTCATGAGACGCTATTACACGATAAATGTTGTCACAAATTTATGTATAAGGGAAGAATGTTGAAATACTTCGTTATCCTCTTGAACCACAACTCAATTTAGACACCTCACAAGATACATTAAAATTAATTCCAGATAGTTTCATAAATCATGTTTAAAAATACTGACCCTAGACAAATTTGGTGGTGGTTGGGGGGAGGATAAATGCAGAGCAGATGGTGGAAAAATTTGAAAGAAAAATATTATTAGATTTGGCCACCTATAAGCATAATCCATTTGTAAGTCAGAAATATCACAATGAAAGTTAAAAAATAAACAACTAAGAAAAGTATGATAAAGCAATAATACCTTTAACAGCCAACATACTTTTCCAAATCATTAAGATTTATCCCAAAAAGCAATGGGCACAGAATATAGAAAAAATTCACAAATTCAACTCATAAATTTCCAACAAATATATGAAAATATATATATTTTTCTGAAAACAGAAAAATATACCAAAAATATAAATGGCTTTATTCTCAAGAGTGTTAGGTGAGTTGTTAATGATAATAAAAAATGGAAGCAACCCAAATGTCTAACTATACTTATTCAGAAACAACCTGTGTTATCTGTAATATAGTATTCTCTAGTAATTTCGGAGAAAGTTTATGAGGAGTTTTAATGACATAGAAAAAATCTTAGATGAAAAATGCAGCATGTGAAATAATTACAACTATTACCAGGAAAAAAGATCACCACAAAATGTTTATACTCTGCCCCCTACCCCACCACCCCTCCAAACAAAAAGATAAGAGGGAAATACAGCAAGATATCTTTGGGTATTTGACTATGTAATTCGATATTATCCTTTTCTATGTTTCTGCATTGCCTTGAAATTTTCTGTCAATCTTTACTTCCAATGAGGAAACACATATATAACAGATGTCATAGCTGTTAAAGATACAAGGAATGCCACACTATAATATCTTAATTTTGGATGAGGAGAAGGATGCTGCAAGTTCCTGAGTCCTGAGGTTCTCAATTCTATCAGCATATTTGATTCACAAGAAGCTTTTATTCTGACTCTAGAAACCCACCCCTGACCAATTAAGTCACAACATCTGGGGAAGAGTCTAGGAATAGTTATTTTAAACCTGGCGAAGGGATTCTAATATGCAGCATGGCCTGAGAACTACTTAGGAGACCTCTTGAATCAGTGCTTCTTCAACCTTAAAGTGCAAATGAGTCACCTGAGAACCTTGTTAATACGTAGTCCCAGTAGACCTGGGATGGAATTCAAGACTCTGCTTTTCTAACAAGCTCCCTGGTGATGCTGATGCTACTGATTCAGGGAGCAAGTGCTGAACAGCAAGGCCTTCAATCTTACCAACTGCAGGCACAATCATTCATTCACATTTTATATCCTTTCATTATTGTAACCATGGCTGTGATATAGGTGCTATTATTCCTCCCTGTTTCACAAACAAGCAAGCAGGAGCTCAGAGGAGTGATACCCAAAATCTGATTGGCTTTGTGACTGCAACCAGCCCTTGCATCTATCTCTCTGTGCTGCAGAGAGAAAACCAGTAAGTTGAGGCCTTACAAATAAATGCAGAAAGATCCAGGTTAGATAATATTTAAGCCTACATACCCTCAAATAACTAAAAACAAACATCAGAAGGTGTTGATAGATGCTTAAAAGGCCAGACTTGACTCAAACTAAACAAGGTAAAGAGTAGCTAGAATATACATTTCTTAGAGTGTCTCTCTCTGTCCTGTTTACTATTTTTGTATCATGGTAAAATATATATAACATAAAATTCACCATTTTAAACATTTTTAAGGATAGAATTCAGTGACATTAATTACAATGCAGCCATCACCACTGTCTATATTCAATAGTTTTCATCACCCCAGACAAATTCTGTACCCAGTAAGCAATAAATTCCCATTTTCCTTCCTCCCTGTCCTTGGTAAACTCCAATCTACTTGTATTTCTATGCACTTGTGTACATTAGATATTTCATACAAGTGGAATCACAGAATATTTGTCTTCTTCTGTCTGGCTTATTTCACTTAGCATAATATTTTCAAGGCTTGTCTACATTATACCGCATGTCAAAATTTCATTTCTTTCTATGCCTAAAGAATATTTGCCTGTTTCATATATACATCACATTTTGTTTTTCCATTCATCTGTTGATGGATATTTGGGCTGTTTCCACTTTTTGGCTATTATGAATAATGCTACAGTGAATAATGGCACATTAGTATCTATCTGAGTCTTCGTTTTGAATTCTTTTGGAAATATACCTGAAGTGCAATTGCTGGGTCATATGGCAATTCTATGTTTAACTTCATGAAAAACTACCAAACTGATTTCCATGGTTGCTGCACCATTTTACATTCTCATCAGCAAAGCTTCAAATTTTCTACATCCTCACCAACATTAGTTATTTTCTAAATAAAAATATTACAGCCATCTTCTAGGTATGAGATGGCCTCTCATTATGGTGTGTATTTACACGGCCCTGACAGCTAACCATGTGGAACATCTCTTCATGTGCTTATTGGACACTTGGTTATTTTTTTTAATTTCTCAATGTTATCAATCCTCATCCAAGGATGTGTTAACTGATTTTAGAGGGAGAAGGAGGGAGAGACAGATGAAGAGAGAATGAGCAAGAGAGAGAACCATGGATGTGAGAGAGAAACATCGATCTGTTGCCTCCTCTGCTCACCACAACCAGGGATCAAACTTGCAACCTAGGTATGTGCCCTAAGCAGGAATCGAACCCACAGCCTTTTGGTTTATGGGATGATGCTCCAAACAACTAGCCACCTGGCCAGGGCCATATTGCTCCTCTAGAGAAATGTTTAGATTTAAGTCCTTTACCCTTCTGAAAATTAGGTTGATTGTCCTTTTGTTGTGGTGGGTAGGAGTTTTTTATATATTCTCCATATTAAATCCTTATCAGATATATGATGTAAATAATTTCTCCCACTCTCTAGGTTGTCTTGTCACTCTCTTAATAGTCTTAAGTACTTTCTCCAATTATGAAATAAATACATGCTTGGTTAGAAACTTTGGAAAGTATTAAATAATGAGTTCCAAAAAGTATAAAGAATCAAAAAAAATGGCACTCATAGTTACACCTGAAAGTTAACTATGTTTCATATTTTGGCATATTTTTCATCACTTAAAAATTTTTCACAGTTTATTTGAGCCAAACTAACAACTGATGGGGAACAAGATCTCAAATGCGCCTGCATCACTTTTCATCTTTACATTTCCTTTATATATTTGAATCAGTTTTTATGTATAGTGTTGAATTCTATTGTTTTGTGTGTGTTTTCCTTAACATACTACAACCATTTACTAAGTCACTAAAAATCTGTAAACATAATTTTAGTGGTTGCACATATTCTACTGTATGGATACACAGTAATTTACTTAAACAGTGCCTAAGGTTGAAAAAAGTTATTTCCAAGATTTTTCTATTAGTAATAGCACTGAAATGAGTATCTTACTGTCTGGATTTCTCATTTTCTTCCCATATAATCAAATTTTTACAAGTAGAATAATAGACTGCAGGGTTTGCAGCAATCCCTTGCTTAAAGCAGAGTCTTCTGCTAAAATGCAAATATTCCTGGGAAGGTCATCATGCCTTAGTCATCTGAACAGGCACTAACCACTCTTTGAACATAATTTTGGATCTGATAGCAAGGTATAATCCTAAAAAGTGATAGAGATTCAGGATGTGTTTACTAATGGTAAAGGAAGGTGGGAGAAGGTAAGAACAGGAGCAGAGACAATTCTGAAGTCAGGGATTACCCTGCATAGAGCTCAGGAGGACTTGAAGGGCATTGAGCACAGAGGGCAGAGGGGACGACAAAAAACTGTGACCACAGGAATAGATGAACTTGGCGTGGCATCGTTTTGTCTGAGGCCCTGGTTGTATCTGTAAATGCTTTTTTGCAGGATGTACGAATTTTTTAACTAGGTAGGTAGGCAGCTTTACTGGTGACAATGTGAACGTGACTGTGAATTCACAAGTGTCATCTGAAATTCTAGTGACCAAGTCTTCCTATATGGCTGAGTATTCCCACTCCTGTAAAAATACTGAACACCAAATGCTAATAACTTTATGATTGGATTTTGGCCTACTTACCCCATTCAGAAGGAACTTGCAGTCTGGAGTTAAGAATAGAAAATTCTCCTTGGAACAATTAGTTTGTTCAATTGAGTAAGTAACTTCATACTTCCATCCAGCCACCACCTGAAACCATTTTGAATTGAATAGTTAAAGGGAAGTTTAAACATTATTCACAGTGTTATGAGGAGCTTGGAATAGTGATGAGCATATCACAAACACACAAGAGAATAAACTATTATTAATAGGTAAAAATCATGACTGAATAAATATTAAGCACTTGAATTCCCTTCAAAACACACACACGTGCACACACGAACACTACTACACATCTGAAAACGACAAACAATATATAGCCAGAGGAGCATATTTCTTTAAGTAAGTCCTAGCAATATTTTCTCTGCTAGGTAGCAGAAAAATAATGTCCTACAGAATTTTATGAAATACTAATAATGCTCTTGTAGATGGTTAAAGAAAACTCTGGAGAGTCAGTGGAATGTACTGGTAGGTTTTCATGTTCCTAGACTGTCAGGCAATCAGTTCTCCTCTGCTTTATCCAGGACTAGTTATACCCAGATAGCTGGATATAAATATATTTGAGTAGAAAATGCATCTTACATGAAGGCAGGTTGGAAGTTCTATTAAAAGCAGGAAATGTTACTGACCAAAGTGAGTCCCTCATAATTACACACTGAAATACGCGGGATCCAGAAAAACTTAGTGAACAGAGTCAATGAAAACCAGATTTACAAGTATGTGCTTTTTTCCCCGATAATATGAAAACTATACTTTAAAGGCTACTCAGAAATCTGTGCCACCCTTTTTGGGCACCATTTAATATTTTGGAGCCATGTTTGACTCATATAGTGAGGTGATGATGCAGTTTTCTTAAAGCCTTAAGGACGTCTTGGTGGGTGTGTTGTTTAGTTCGTTGGGCTTGGCCCTGCAAACTGAAAGGTCATGGGTTTGATTCCTGGTCAGGGCACATACCTGGGTTGTGGGTTCAGCCCCCTGTCAGGGTGCATGGGAGAGGCATGTACTTGATATTTCTCTCTCACATCGATGTTTCTATACTTCTCTCTTTCGCTCTCTCCTCTCCCCTCTCACTACCATCAATAAGAATGTCCTCAGGTGAGGAAATAATTAATTAATCCATTAAATACTTTTTAAAAAAGAATCCCTTAGGGTCACAAAGACCTTTTCATTCAATGCTAACCACCCACTTATGGAAAGCAATCTCAGAGCAAGGGGTCTCCCTAGCCCAACTTTTCCCCTTTCCTACTGCAGTGTCCGAATCACTTTGGTTATAGAGGAAGCTCTTTCTTTGCCTCCTCTGTTCCCTCACTACCAGTCATGGAATCACAGGATTTCTTTTGACCAATGGTATATTTTAGCAAATGAAACCTTAAGCATAAATTCCCAACAAATTTTAACAATTCTGTGCAAAATAAAAACTGAAAGAACAAACCTGTCTGTGGGCCTGTTTCACTTCTTTCAGGGCAAAGAGGTGGGAATGGTGAGAGTGGTTGTTATAATGTTGAATGGCGTGTCTCAGGACAGGTTCCAAGCCCGGGCTGGCAGTTGAGAGGGGGTGCACACAGCCAAGGCAGTCATACTGGGATGTCACCACAGGGCCCTTGGCTGCACAGAGAAAGAACAGGCCAAAGGGCAGCCTTAATGAGCAAAATCCACATTGGGATACATTACCCTAAATAAGTTAGATAAGTTCAATGGCCCTAGTAAACAAACTCTCTTCGTTATTGGTTTTGTTTTTATTTTTAGACAGAAGGGAAGAAAGGGACAGAAACAATATGTGGTTGCCTCCCATGACACCCCAGCTGGGACCCTGGACAGCAACCCAGGCCTGTGCCCAGACTGAAAATTGAACCAGAGACCCTTAGGTTCCCAGACTGGCATTCAATCTGTTGAGCCACACCAACCACAGCTCAACAAACTTTCTAATGAATTCTAGTGTATATTAGAAAAAGAGAATATAAGCTCACTTTTCACTCAGCCAGAGGAAAGAACCTATCATTGACTTAGGAACATCTTACATGCATACTATTGTGCATAAGTGTTTTAAATATATTTAAAAGTCATTGTAGCCCCCCCCCCCAGTGTGGCTCAGTGGACTGAGCACCAGACTGTGAAGCAAAGGGTCACCAGTTCAATTCCCAGTCAGGGAACATGCCTAGGTATCAGGCCAGGTCCCCAGGAGGTTTTTCTGGGGTGACAGAATGCCCCTCCATTTTCAGGGGAACTTTTAAAAATTACAATAAAGATTTTAAGTTTCCAAGTCAAAATATATTCAGCCAAAAAGTTTTAGATAAGGAATTGTGGATCTAGTATAATTGTAGGCCTAGAAGTTTGGCAAAGAGCTTTTCCCCTCATAGTATATAAGGACTGCGCTCTGGAGAATGTGAACATTTGCTTTTGAGCTAGAGTTCTTCAACTGAGTAACAAAAACCTACTCCAAAACTTGTTCATTTGCTTGTAATGTCCTTTCTATTTGCATTGTATTTCTTGGAATGCCACTTCTTGCAAGAACTGAAGCTCAAGGGATATAGTTTTGTGGGTTCCACATGGATGAGGAAGCCAGGACAGAATAACTGCCCCTCCACCAACAGCCAAGAGTGATGCTGGTGATGCTGCTCAGGAGCCTCATGTGCTGAAACCCTCTCTTACAGGAGGCTGGTTCTGAGTTTGCTTCTGTGGTTGGCATTACCTAGATGTGCCCATTCTTCTGCACCCAGGCACTCTGCCACCATCCTACAAGGTCTGTATACTGCCTCTGCTAAGTGCTAGCTGTGGCATCTTGGGCAAGACACTTTACTGTGGTTGGCCTCAGTTTCCTCATCTGCAAAATGAGAATATTTACACTTGCCTCATAGAATGTGGGTGAGGATTAAATAAGTCAACATGTGAAGTGATTAGAACTGTGACTGGCAATAAGCGCTCAATAAATATTAGCTATTATTACTCTTATTCTGATTTCCTCAATGCATTATTATGATTGTACCTGCAAGCCTGTCCTCTAGTTCAATCTCCAGCAATATCCTGTAGCAATCCCCTTTCATAGGTAAGGAGGAGGGAGACTAGAAAGGTTAAGAGCTTGTACACGATTTCAGGCCAGATTGGACCTCAAAGCCTGGCTCTTCTCACGCTATCATGCCACCTACAATCAATGACAAGTGGTATGTTTTCTAGTACTTTCCCAGGGTTCTCACACAGGCCTCATACATACAGCACTGCTCTCCAGGAAGAGGGTCAGGTTAGTACTGAGGAGATGACTGGCAGGAGCCTGGCCCAAACTCAGGACTCTGCCACCCCCAGTCCCTAAACCCCCACCGAGGCTGCATGCAAATGGCATTGCTGCAGCCACTCTGTTCCCTTGGAAAGGGCCTTTGTCTAGATTCTGCTCCTGGCCTCACAGGGAAATGGTTCATTCCCCCAGGGCAGGCCCACTGGATATGTCAGCTACCTGGAGTGATCTGGCAGGTCTGGGTAGCCACAGACAGATTATTTGCTCTTTCCCCCACAATTGCAGTGCATTCTCCTGTGGCCTAAAGAGAGGGAAAAAAGAGAGAGAGAGAGACCATTTCTGTTAATCTTTCAATGGAGAAGTGCACCTAGTACTGTTGCTCAGTATGGATTTCCTTTATCTAACTTGTCAAGCTTTTTTTTTAACAGAGTTTGGAGACACAAGAATTGTAGGGGACCCATTTGTTTTGGTCTAGCAAATGTGACTCAGCTCTGCATGGAAAACCTACAGAAGTGAGGTGGTGGGCAGGAGGCAGACCTTCAAACCGAGTTCTCCCACGGGATTCAGATCTAGAAAATGCATACAGGCTGCTATGGCCTGCTCTTGCTGAAACGCCATCACCTTTGTCAAAAACAACAAATGTGTATTATCTATCTTCAAAGCCTGTGTGAATTTTCCCAAGGACAGAGCTAATCAGCTCGCCACCTCTTTCTTCTGCATATGTCATTTTCATTTCCTTGATTGTACCTAAAATGTAGACAATAATATTCCATGTAATAAATTATAAATCCTCCTTTGATGTAAAACCTGAGAAAAACAAGAAAAGTCTGTCTAGGTAAGGGTCAGGGCACTCTCCCCTTGAGAGTGCTGTTCCCTTTTTCTCCACAGGATTGCTGTTTCCTGTGCATTTATTCTCATCTTTCAGTCACAACAGGCAGACTGTGCTGGCTGGAGTTCACCACAAAAGTGAATGTTTTTGTAGCCCAATCAAAATTATTTACAAGACACTGATATTCATGAGGCATTGAGAAGCAAAGCAGTATAAACGGGGAAGTTTCAGGTAGCTTTATGTTTGGAGCTCTGGAGATACTTCTCTTTCACCAAGATGAACACAATGCCCTAGAATCAGCTGGCTCTACTCTCCTCTTAACTTACTTTTCAACTTCACATTCAAGTACATGCAGTGTACAGGTCTTTTGCCATTAAAGTGGTGAGACCATGCACTATGGAAAGAGTGGCTTGCTTCCAGGCAGATACTGTCTGCAGCCTCCCTCATTTAAGGCCAAAGGACCAGCTGTGGTGTAACCCACAGATGTTAGGTACTTGGGTAAGATTGCCATTGTTATTAAAATAAGGCCCTTTCATAGTGGATTTCCTTTCAACCTTCCACAGACAGGTGAGGTCAATTTTACCTCCACTTTATAAGGCATCCCTTGGGTTTAGAGTGGTCAGCCAGTTGGAGGCAGATCAGGATGCAAACTCAGGTCTGTGCAAATTAAGCACCCACAGTATCCCCTACAAGCCTTTGATCTCAGCCCAAATATCAATCTATTCACTCTCTGGGACCTGGCCCATGTGTCCCAATTGGTCATTAGAGTCCCCTCCTCATGGGAGGGCTTTCTCCACATTTAATGGCTGGCCTCTTTGTGCCTTTTCTGTCTAGGCAAGAACAGAGACATTGAGCATTTGACTTTTCTAAACATCTGGGCTTTGTGTGCACACCCCACAAACAAGCTCACAATACTTATCATCCCCAATACTGGTGAAATAAATAATCATAGTCCCTACGGAGAAAAATGGAGGGTCTGGAGCATCCCACTTACAGCCTGCTCAGCTTCCTTGTAGTCACAGTCCTGCCACGTTTTGTCACTTTGAACAGGACAGTCTCCCTCCTTGATCTGGTACTTGATGGAATAGAATGTTTCCTGGTCATCCTGAAAAAAGGCAATGAGAGATAATCAGGCTTCATCCAACTAATGCAACCGCCAACTACTTGAGTGGCAACTAGTACATTTGTATATAGTTGATATGATGTGATTAAATAAGATCTAAACATTTATTTTAAATATTGAAAGTTATAAATACTCAGAAGACTGTTCATAATATATTTATAAATATATGTTTTTTAAGTCACAAAGTAGTATCCTTAGACTTGGCCTATTTTTTAGGTGTTATATATATTTTTATTTTATATATGAGGAGAAAAGAGGCACAGATAATAACTTGTTTAAGTTCTTTTTTAAAAAATTCAAATAGTATTTCTTCATTATTGCCTAAATTTTTGAATGTAGTAAAGGGTGCATACAGAATTTAAATTCAGGAAAGCTTTGAAGTCCATAGTTTTTAAATTATATTAAACTGTTCCAGGTTCCTTACAAATCATATTTCAAACATTAGGCATTTGCTGCTTGCAAAAGAATATAGGCTGCCTTTCATGGAATGATCCAAAATTTCTCAGAGCCTCTCTGACCATCAAAAGGTGGATACCCTGTATAATGGGCTGAAACGTATGCAGCTGGGCTGCCTAGTAGTCATTTTATTATTTAATAATTAATTAATTATTAAAATACATTTTATTGGTTATGCTATTACAGTTATCCCCTTCCCCCCTTTATTCCCCTCCCCCTCTGTACCTCCTCCCACCCCCATTTCCCCCTTTAGTTCATGTTCATGGGTCATATATATAAATTCCTTGGCTTCTACATTTCCTATACTATTCTTAATCTCCCCCTGTCTATCTTCTATCTAATATTTATGCTATTTATTCTCTGTAACTTTTCCCTCTCTCTCCTTCTCCCACTCCCCTACTGATAACCCTCCATGTGATCTCCATTTCTGTGAATCTGTTTCTGTTATAGTTGTTTGCTTAGTTTGTTTATGTTTTTGTTTTAGGTTCAGTTGTTAATAACTATGAGTGTTCTGTCATTTTACCATTCATACTTTTGATGTTCTTTTTCTTAGATAAGTCCCTTTAACATTTCATATAATAAAAGCTTGGTGATGTTGAACTCCTTTAATTTGAACTCATCTGAGAAGCACTTTATCTGTGATTCCATTCTAAATGATAGCTTTGCTGGATAGAGTAATTTTGGATGTAGGACCTTGACTTTCATGAGTTCAAATACTTCTTTCCAGTACCTTCTTGCCTGCGATGTCTCTTTTGAGAAATTGCCTGACAGTCTTATGTGCACTCCTTTGTAGGTAACTGTCTCCTTTTCTCTTATTTCTTTTAAGATCCTCTCCTTCTCTTTGATCTTGTCTAATGTACTTATGGTGTGCCTTGGTGTGTTCCCCCTTGAGTCCAACTTCTTTGGGACTCTCTGAGCTTCCTTAACTTCCTGAAGTCTATTTCCTTTGCCAGATTGGGAAAGTTCTTCTTTATTATTTTTTCAAATAACTTTGCCATTTGTTGCTGTACCTCTTCTCCTTCTGGTACCCCTATAATTTAGATGTTGGAACGTTTAAAGATGTCCTGGAGGTTCCTAAGCTTCTCCTCATTTTTTTGAATTCTCGTTTGTTTATTCTTTTCTGATTGGATGTTTCTTTCTTCCTTCTGTTCCACACCACTGATTACAGTCCCAGTTTCCTTCACATCACTATTGGTTCCCTGTACATTTTCCTTTATTTCACTTGGCATAGCTTTCATTTCTTCATCTAATTTACGACCAAATTCAACCAGTTCAGTGAGCATCCTGATTACCAGTGTTTTGAACTGTGCATCTAATGGGTTGGCTACCTCTTTGTTGCTTAGTTGTATTTTTTCTAGAGCTTTGATCTGTTTTGGGGGGTGAAGCATCTTTTTTGTCTTGACATACCTACAACATATAAGGACTGAAGCATTAGATGTTCACCAGAACCAGGCAACCCAGGTTGCAGCATTGTGATGCTGTATGTGGGGCATGGGTCCAGCGGGAGCAATGGGGCTTGCTCCACTCTCTGCCAGATTTCAGTCACTTCCCCCACTTCCCACAAGCAAATTGGTCCCTTCTGGTGCTGATTTATTGTGGGTCGACTTGTCTACATTCTAAAACCCTGCGCATTTCTGCAATAAACTCTTCTATGAGGCTGGGAGTTTCTCCTGCTTGTGGCTCAACCCCCACACGTGTTTTCAATCAGTGGTGTGAGGCTTTATTTCCCTGCTCTGGGACCCTGAGTTGTGAAGTTAGTCCCGCTCCACCTTTGATTCACCTGGTTTATCTGCACAAGAATGTGGGACTGCCCAGTCCTCTACTGTTGCCTTGCTGTGAGTCCTCTCTACCTGGCTGCCCATCTCTGCCCCTCCTACTGGTCAGGATGAATATGTCTTTTTTAACTCCTTGTTTGTTAGACTTCCATACAGTTCAATTTTTCTTTCAGTTCTTAAAGAAAATTTTCAGTTTTCTTTGTTTTTAAATTGTTGTTGTCCTTCTTTTGGTTGTGCAAGGAAGCAGGGTATTTTTACCTATGCTTCAGTCTTGGCCAGAAGTTCTTGATTGAGTATTTGTTTAAAACAAAAATATATTACTTTTACAATAAAAAATTGAGGACTTTTTAATTTTTAAAAACAATGTTAACAGATATCTCTGAATAATGGGATTAGTTATGATAATTTTAATATTTTCATTTGCTCGGTTTTGTTTTCTATTGTTTCTAGAATATCACAAAAGAATAAGTTAAACTTTTAAAGTTCAAGGGTTCTGAGTTAGATGGACTCTTACATATAAGGTCCAGGCATGTTGCAGCAGCAAGGGACCTGAGAGGAGATGTTGTCCAGTCCCTTACTTTGCAGGTGAGAAGAAACAGGCCCCAGTTGATAGGCCACAATAGCTTAGGCAGCCTCCCACCTTGGAAAGGCCCAGCCAGCCCAGGTCCCAGGCCTCCTGAGTCCCAGAGCAGCCCTCTCTCTGAGCCTGCCTGCCTCAGAGTATTGGCATCTGGGAGATGATGGAGGCAAACAAGGTCAACTCTGAGGTTCCTTCAGGTCTCACATTTCGATGAAGGAATAGGTGGTAGTGGTGTACATAGCAAGGTAAAGAGTGACTCCATGGACATTTGAGAACAAAAGGACACATTTGTTACAGATGTCAGCCAATGAAGACGACACCATTAAATGTTGCTGAGGGCACTAGGCCTCACATGATTATACTAGTTTGTAAATAGAATGGCTCAATTTCATTTTCAGAAAAAGAAAAAATGCCCACTGAGCTTTTTTCTTTCATCTCATCACATCAAATGGCTGAATTTTTTCCTTCCACCATAGTGAATTATCACAAAGACAAGGTGAAATTCATTTAAACAAACTGCTAAAAGTTTGGTTTTTGTGTTTTTAACTTTGATTTGTGCTTTTTTCAAAAATAATTTGCTTTCTTTTGAATGCCACAAAACAGATTTCTAGTCTCAAAATAGGATGCATCAAGAACAGAAATATCCTCCTTCCATACCATCTTCATATTCACCAACACAAGAAATCCTTCTGGAATATAAGCAAGTGACTAAACAGGTATTGAACCACTGAATCTACAAATTAATACATAACCTGTTAGGGCACAATAAATAACAATTTGCCCCAAAGAAAGATTTTTAGCTTTCCAAATATAAAAGCCTCAGAGGATCATATATAGACAAGCAAAGTCCTTTTATTCCAGATTTTATGGAAAAATGAATCATACACTGGCATCTGAGAAGGCTGAAACTCTTACTACTAAGTAGATCCAAATTGAGAATTTCTATGGTGCTTTAGAAAACAGAACCAGAATACCTTTATTTTTCATTTTTTGTTATTCTCTTGCAGTTTTCGCAATTTTTCCTTCTTAGCCCTCCTCTACCCAGTCCACCCTTCCTGTCACACAGTCAATCCCCACATCATTGTCCATGTCCATCAGTTATTCCTACATGTTCTTGACTAGTCCTTTTCCTTTCTTTCCACCATTTTCCAGTCCCCTCTTCCTTGGCAGTTGTCAGTCTGTTCCATGTTCCCATGTCTCTGTTTCTATTTTGTTCTTTAGTTTATTTCATTCATTAGAATCCTCTTATAGGTGATATCATTTGGTATTTGTCCTTCACCAGCTGGCTTATCACTTAGCATAATAGTCTCCAGAATTTTGTTTTTAAAAATGAGGATCCTGTGGAATGCCTTTACTTCATATTTACCTAATATTGTAACAGTAAAGCAGACACCAGCGTGTCAATGACAGCCCAACAATGCTGGATGCAGGACGTTTAAACATAACACTTCTGTCTAAAAGTCCAACAGGTTGATTGACAAAGTCCAGACAGCATGTCACATGATCCCATTTGGTGCCTCTTCTACCATGGTCCAAGATTGTTACATGGATACAGCCAAGGACTGGGCCCCAACTTGTAGCAAAAAGACCACAGAGAAAAATCAGGGTGTTTATTTGGTCCCTGCATCACCTGTGTTGTAGAACTAGAAAACAGAAGGTGGAAAACGCAGACTGCCGGGAGTTAAGGAGTTGGAAAAAGTTGGTGGAGAGTGGCCCAGTATATGAGTAAAATCCCTGGGCTTGTGATGGTAGAGGTGCTGCAGAAGAGAGCACCCATGGGAACAAGTACTTATATGCCTGCTGTGTCACTCTCCCCATGACCTTGGCATATCTGTATGTGATAATAAGTAGATGAGTTATGTAATAACATGGTGTATTGAAATGTATCTGTCCTATGGAATGAACCACCACAGACAGACAGACATGTTATCAGGCACATTCTTTAAGTTTTCCTGTGTTAGATTTGATTTGTTTGTCTTCAAGGCTATCCAGCCTAATTGTTCCCAGGGATTTCCTGGAAGAGAAGAGGGGTCTACTGAGACTGGTTTGCTTAATCTTTCTTTTTTTAAAAAAATATTTTTTTCACTGTTGATATACAAAAATGCCTTTGATTTCTGGATATTGACTTTGTAACCAGCTGTTTTGCCAAACTCATTAATTAGTTCGAGCAGTTTTTGGGTAGAGTCTATAGGGTTTTCCATGTACACTATCATGTCATCTGCAAACAGTGACAGTTTTGCTTCCTCCTTTCCTATTTGGATGCCTTTTATTTCCTTTTCTTGCCTGATCGCTGTGGCTAAAACTTCTATAAAATTTAAAAATAAATAAATAAATAAATAAATAAATTTAAAATAAACCTAATTAAAATTTAAAAAAAAATAAGGTAATAATGCTAACAATTTAAAAATAAATAAATAAATTTTTTTTTTCAGAAACGGAAAGATAGGGAGAAAGAGAGGGAGAGAAACCTTGGTGTGTCCTTGAAACATTAATTGGTTGTTTGTCACAAGCTCCCCAAATGGGGAAAAATAAAGCTTACATTGGCTTAATTTTTAATTTTTCCCTTTACATCATTCTGAGTGTTTTCATATAAAGAAAAAAATTACACAACAACATAAAACCATAATAGTTTTTGATGTATCCAGATGACGCATCCTCAGGATGCTCCAAATGTTTCCAGGAAACTTTATAATTTATGGACTATTAATTTGTCTAGTGACAAAGGACAAAGTCAAATGCATTACTGGTATGAAAGTGTCCAGTGTTCTCTATGAGGGTCATGACTGCTATACAATGTTTCTTTCTCCAGCATAATTTACCTTCTGGAAAGCTCTACCAGTTCACCTAGGTATGCTTTGTCACGTTCACCGTTCTTTACTTGCTTATCTGATTTGCTTTGCTTTACTGGACTTTTCACTTTTAAAATCTGGTTCTTGTTGATTCTTACCGAGGGTGGCAGCAGTTCATGATGTAGAGGGAAGTAGCAGAACTGCTTTCACTGTTGCTGCCAACACTTTAGCTAACTCTTGAACTTGGGCTGTCTCTTCTATTTACTAGTCTCTCCATTATGGATACATAATCATTATCCTCTGCCTCATCTTATTCCTCCCAATTTTTATCAGAATGCAGATCTTTCATGAAAGACCTAAAGGACTTTGCTGCCTCATCTGGGACTAGTGAAACTGGTCCTGGAATTGGACCTGGAGCTGGAACTGGAGTGGAGCTCACAGGACTGGGGTGGATAGGGCTGTGCTCCAGTGGAGGGAAGGCGTCCCAGAGCAGACCAGAGCCACACAGGCGTATACTGAGCCATGGAGGCCCTGGGAAAAGGTTCAAGGAAAATTATCAAGCTTCCCCCACCCCCCACACCCAGATGGGTCTTTGCCCATACTGCCCACAGATGCCACTCTACTAGGTCTGAAAGTTTGTATTTCTTGGAATCATATACCCTGTTGGGATTTATCTTCAACCTGAGTGTATCAACCAGCAATAAAAAACTATATTAAAAACCAAATATAACACTACTATTACCCTTTATGTGTCCAGTAATAAGGAATTTTTAGCAGATATTTTGTCAAAAGCAGCAGAACCACATGAATCCCGTTTGTGACTCCTCTTAGATATACTTCACCACCCCTCATTACCCTAGCTTTATTGTAGTATATTCAACAAATAAATTTATATATTTAAGATGTAAAATGAGAAGATTTGATGTACATACACATTGTGAAATCATTACCACAACTATGTTAATTAACACATCATCACCTCACATAATTACATGTTTCGTGTGTGTGGACAAAACACTTCAGGTGCAACCTTTGAGCAAATTTCAGGTACACAGCACAGTATTATCAGCTCTAACCAGCATGCTGTACAGCAGACCCCGAGGAGCAGTCACTCATGCTATGACTGAAAGTCTGTCCCATGACCAACACCTGCCCACTCCATCCCCCACAGCTCCCGGCAACCACCTTTCTATTTTCTGCTTTGGGGACTTTGAATTTTTTAATTTTATGTATAAGGACATTTATATAGTGTTTGTTAGATGCACCTCCTGGGTCACCCCCTGCTCATTAGAAGTCTGGAGGTCTTTGTATTTTGGTCTGAGTCTTGTCACCCAGAAAATCTTGCTAGGTCTGAGTTCAAGGATTGTCCAACACTGCATAGTCACTTTCAAGTGACTCCATCTACCTTTCTTTCATTTCACCCTAGGATACCCCTCCTCTGATCACCCAGGAAGCCAACCTTGGTGGCTGAGGACCAGTTGTACCCTGCCCTCCACCCAGCCCAGAGCTCGGATTGGTCATTTGTAAATGCTATAAGCTCCTACCTTTGATCACCAATTCTGTGGTGATTGGTGTGTGTGCACATATATGTGTGTGTCTCAGGTTCCAAGTGACCACACAAATCCCAAATGACCTCAAAGCTGAACACAGCTCACTCACCGTCTTGTTGACTTCGGTTACGCGGTATAACACAAACTGGTTGCCACTTTTGCTTCCACTGTTATATTCCTTCAGAGCTGAGTCCACAGCCTTAAATACATCCTCATCATTGCAGTCGATTTCTTCCCAGTGGTACTTCTGGGTTAAACTCGGTAGCAGTCTGGAGCAAAGGAGAAGGATGGCAATGAGCTTCATGATTTAACAGTCTCCCTCTAGTAGTTTCACCAACACTTGGGAGCTGCTTTGGATGCTGATGGTGACTCTCTTCAGCCACTTGTCTCCTGTGTCTGTGCTTTCTTTGTTTTAGCACCTCAGGGGCCTTCTGGGATCCTTCAGAGATCCCTGTTGCCAGCCACTGTTTGCCCTATAAGCAAAGGGTAAATACCTCTGCTGGGTTATGCAAGCAGATCTCAGGTTGGTACATTATACAACACTGAGGTCAGTGACAACACATGCTTGTTTGCATTTGGGGATCACATGGGAGCACAGAGCAAATTTCCATGTACTTGCACAACTGTGATAGGAGATCAGAGCAGAAACTAATAAAGGAGGAGAAAACAACACCAACCCCATGGTATTCCCTTTTCCAAATCACTTTCCAAAGCCATTTATGAAGGTCACTATGTGTGACAACACCTTTCAATAAGATGTGCAGACACCTTTCAATAAAATGTCTTTTGACACCTGGGAAGCCACACACAGGGACATAGCGAGTGCAGGGAATCCCACCCCAGAACATGGGCATACCCATTTTAAAAATAAAAATGGGTATCCTGTATGGTCTGTGGACAAACCAGCCCCTCTCCACTCAATTGTATTATTTATAGAAAGGAGAATGTTCCCCAGAATAGGGGGGACAGAGGAGAAGAATAAGGAGAGATGAGTTGAGTGAAGCCCACTCACCCTGTCCTTCCTTCTCATTTCTGATTTGGTTGACCTCAGGGAGTCTTTCATTCACCAAAGCTAAGTAAACTTTCTGATGAAGTCAGATGATTCAGAGAGAGGAGTTCCAGGGCTAGCCCTTAGTAGATTCTTATCTTTTTCCTCCACAAAAGATGTTTGAAGACTTTGTTGTTGTTGATAGGGTCTCTAGTTTTGTCTCCTGAGAGCCCCTGAAAAGAGGGGTCAGTGGGGCTGAATGATGATGGCCTCGTAGCCAAGTGGCAGGTACATGAACTTGGCAGTAAATCCAACCTTGATTCCAGTGCAGCTCTGCTGCTACTCAATGACTGTTATTCTGAGCCCATCATGATCATATAGCCTTTCTGAGCCTCAGATTCCTCATTTGGAAAAAATAAAAATTTTTAATACCTAACGAGTTTTGTTTGAGGAGTAAATGAGATACCATCTGTGCAGGGCCTGGTAATTAGTTCTTATAAATTATGTCTAATATTAGAGTGGGATGGTTAAAGATTTCTGAGTTATAGAAGCAGATTCAGGTGTGCGGTGATGGCAGAAGATAGATTTTAGTGTGTGTTTGGGGGAAATGGGAGGTGTAGGAAATAAAACTAAGGGTGAAAGAGAATTGGTTATGTGCTTAGTCTGGGAAGACAGAGGAACCCCAAGGATGGGGAAGCTGAAAGTGAATGAGAAGATGACTGATGTGCTCAGTCAGGATGAGCTGGGAAGGGGCGCAGGCTGGTCACAGTGGGTGTTTCAAGTGGAGACTCAGAAACAGAAAATGGCAGTAATACAGGCGGCAAAATAAACAGGACAGCACTTGAGTTTGGAGGCGCATCTGGTTCTAATTCCAGACCCACACTTTACTGACCATAACAGACATTAAGCGTTCATACACTTTTTAGCTATCATGCAGAAAAAATCTAGACAAAGCAGCAATCAATGGTATCCTGTCTAATCCTCTAGCACAATGTAAGGTCCCTCGAGTAGGGATGGTTTTTCACCCCATTATTCACTTGCAGGAATGTGATTTGCATATTATAGACGCATTTCATTGAAATAGATTGAGAAAGTTCAATTCTAGGTTTTCCGGGTAATATTTTCAGTAACTCAAGCAATATTTTGAAAGTACTTCATTGTAGGGGACTGGTTTGTTTACATTTGGGAAATGTGACTCAGCTCTGTATGGAAAACCTACAGAAGTGAAGTGGTGGGCAGGAGCCAGACCTTCAAACCGAGTTCTCCCATGGAAATCAGGCCTAATAAATGCATACAGACTGTTATGGCTTGCTCTTGCTAAAACTCCATCACCCTGGTCTAAAACAACAAATGTGTATTGTCTGTCTTTAAAGCAATATCCAAAGTTTGTCTGAATTTGTCCAAGGACAGAGCTAATCGGCTCATCGCCATTCTCCTCTGCATGTTATTTTCATTTCCTTGATTGTACCTAAAATGTAGACAATAATATTCTATGTAATAGGTAATAAATTTTGCCCTGATGTAAGACCCTAGGAAAACAATAAAATCCTGTCTAGGCAAGGGTCGAGGCACTCTCCCCTTGAGAGAGTGGTCGTGCCGTTTTCTTTTTCTTCACAGGATTGTTGTCACCTGTGCATTCGTTCTCGTTGTCAGCCACAACAAGCAGACTCTGCTGGCCAGAGTCTGCCATAATGTAAATTAAAGAGCACTAGTCACATGCTTTTGTGAGTTATTAAACTATGTATTCTTTGTCTGAGGGTTCTTCCTGGATTTTCCCTGTCTGTTTTTCTGTCCAAGCAGCCCACCCAGTGTTCACACCTGGTGAAGGAAGGTCAGTTCTGCAGAGCCCACATTCAGCTGCTGCCACCCAGGCTGTTTATGGCTGGCAGCTGTTCTGACTGGTGGCTGCATCAGCTCTGTGGGTCAGTGCTGGTGTCATATTGGCTATTAAATTATTTGGTATCATCATGTGGCTCCAGGAAATGAAGTCTAGGGAGGAGCAAATGGGCTGCCACCACCATCATGTTTTAGAGAAGGAAGATGAGGCCTAACTAGGTTTAATAACTTTCTTAGGACCCTAGAGTCCATTCATTGTAAGAGTGGACTTAGAACCCAGGTGGGCCTCCTCTACAGTTACGTTCTTTCCTGTTTATTACACTACCTGAATACACCACCAAGCCCTGCTTTCCGTCCCGTTTTAACTAAGAAATAATTGACATACATCACTGTGTAAGTTTAAGGTGTACAGCATGATGCTTTGACTTACCACAACAGGTTTAATACCTCATATAGGTGCAATAAAAGGAAAAACTTCTTGTAATGACAACTCTTAGGATTTACTCTCTTAACATCTTGTGTGTCTATCACAGAGCAGTGTTCACTGTAGTCACCATGCTATAAATTACACCCCTAGCCCTCACTTATCTTAAAACTGGAAGTTTGTGTCTATTGACTACATTCCTCTATGTCCTGTTTCTGAGTCCTTTACTTGATTAGCCTTCTGCTCCTCTTCAGCTCCTCTTGGAACAGACACATCAGTCATCTCCTCTTTCTCCTACTTCAGCTTCTTCATCTTTGTGGGCCCCTCCTTCTTCCCAGCCTGAAACCTAGTTGTTGTTTTTTTACTTTCTCTTCCTTCCCCCATTAGAATCTACCTTCTGTCATCACCACACACCCTGAAACTGCTTCAGTAAGTCAGATAGAAGCAGGGGTGTCCAACCCTCAGCCTGTGGGCTGCATGTGGCCCAGGATGGCTATGAATGCAGACCAACACAAAACTGTACATTTACTTAAAACATTATGAGATTTTTTTTTGTTAGTGTTTGTGTATCGAACATGTGGCCCAAGACAACTCTTCTTCTTCTAGTGAGGCCCAAAGATGTCCAAAAGTTTGGACACCCCTAATTTTAAAGTCTAATTAGCTTATGTCTAAATGCTTGAGCCTGATTTGGGAAAAAGAGAAAAGAAAGAGAATTTAAGTGTGGAAAAAGAGTACCCTAGGATCAAAAGTGAAAAAAAAACTTTCTGAGACTAGAAAGCCCCTAGGCCTGGGAAGGAGGTATGAAAAGAACAGAGGAGTCTGGGGGTCTGGGAGCAGAGGACACCTCTGCCCTGCTTTTTGAAAATGTAGGCTGAAAAGACAGCAAGATCTCAGGGAGCAAGCAGTCACATGGTATCTCTTGGCAGTCATGTCCATCAGTAGTCTTACCAAGACTCCTATATCTCCAGTTTGATGCGGAAGTAGCAGATAAACTACATCCAAAGAGATGTAAACAGGGTAGGAAGCATCCCTCAGCAGGGGGACCTGATGGCCCAGCAATGAAGAATCAGACCTCTTTCTCGTGCCCACCACCTTGGACTATGTGAGGGTCTTAAATGTGGCATAACTTTGTATGGGGAGCAGCAGGGTGCTGGAACTCCAAGAAGGTTAAGTTTGGCAACCTGTAGTATGGCAACCTGAAATAGAAATTAATGTGTTCTGAAAATAAAGTGATATTTCTGGTGCACCTAAATTTATGATCATGATTCATGTCTGTAAACTTCTTTGTACATTATATCCTGAGTTTTGTTTGCTTTATAATTAAAATTAGAACTTATTTTTCTAAAACAAAATTTGAGGACAAGAAATAAAAAAAATAGGAGAGAATTTGAATCATTTTTATAAGAATAATCCTTTATATGACAGTGTATAGTTTCTTGGTATGCCCAGCTACAGAATAAGTATTAATAGAGGAATGATGCTAGCATTTCAGGAGTCCAGTCCAAGAAGGAGAGAATTCTGAGGATTAGAGATTTGTCTTGAGTGTTGTAGTAGCCACCGAGAGCATTAACTTCTGATTTGTCACACCAAGCTTTTCCTTCTTCTCTCCATTTGTCTTGCTCTTCTCATGCCATCACCTTCCCCACCCACATTTTGTCCTATCCTGAATATGAAAGTAAGGTAAAATAACTTCTAATTATGCACTTATTACTGGTTATATTTTATTTATTGTTCTAATTCAGAACATTACTCATTTTTCCAGGAACTCAGATTTTTCTTTGGTAATGTATATGCAAAAAACTTTGAGACTTGTGAAAATTCCCTCTTAAACATCCCTGGACATGATTCAGAGGCTGACTGAGGGAAGGGCTGCATTTCTGGCTTTAGAGGATGGCTGTTGTTTGGCAATGAGAAGTTAGGAAAATTGGCCTCAGGAAGAGGAAGAACTTCACCATTCTTTAATGGAGGGAGTCGGTTAACATATCCAATTTGTCTCCATTGGAAGGGATGGGGTCCTCTACCTGGACCTCTTTCTTCTGAATGCCTAGGTGGTGGGCCATGGCCCCTGTGATGGTGATCTTGGGGACCTTGGCTATGAGGTGGTGGGTCACAGGGTCCATGGTCATAAAAGTCATGGCCATGGGGAGGGTGCCCATGAGGACGATGTCCATGGGGATGATGTCTGTGAGGATCATGCTCATGGGGATGGTGTCTATGGGGATGGTGTCCATGAGGATGAGGCCCATGAGGATGGGGATGCCCATGAGGATGGGGATGCCTATGAGGATGGGGATGCCCATGAGGATGGGGATGCCCATGAGGATGGGGATGCCCTTGGGGATGATGCTCACTGGAACTATGATTATGAGGGTGTACGTGGGTTCTATTGATGCCAGAATGGAAGTGATGACATCTTAAAGGAGGCCATGGAGGAGGAGGTCCTGGTGGAGGAGGTCCTGGTGGAAATGGTGGTCTGTCTAAGTGATTTGCGTCTTCTGGAGGAGGTGGGTATCCAAGCTCATGTGTCTTGTGGGGATGGCGGAAATCTCTGGACCCATTGTTCTTAAATGGAAACTTGCCAGTGTGGAAAAAAGGAGGCCCCAGGTGGGGTGGTACATCACCAATGTGTCTATGGTCCTGGAAAAAAACACAGAAAAGTGAATATCACCATATAAAGGAGAAATTGGATGTTTAACTTGATTTAGGCCAATGGCTACCATCATCTTGGATTCTACAAAGAAATTTTAAAAGTAGGAAAACAAAAAAGGTTCTCAAATTTTTATCTAGCCAAAGTTGGCATTTCAAACACAAACAAAAACTGTCATCTACCGCCATCATTTCATAGTAGGAATAATATTGATAACAACAGAAAGATAATCTCAGAGTAAAGAATGGTTCTTTAAGTGAAATATGTTAAAACACAAAAATTTTTCTTATTATCTTTATTTTTCTCATTTCAACATAAAGTGCCAAATTTATTTTATAGCAGGGTACTCATCTGCAGGCCAGTATTTAGAAAACTAGTGCCTTATAATTTAGGCTCTCAACAGAGTTCTGAGACCCTGTGGTATAAGCATTCCTTACTCCTAAGAGGATTAACACTTTGCCTCTTCACTCTCCTTACTTAAGTTTTAACTTTTTAAAGAAAATCTATGCAGCCATGTTCATGCAGTCACTAACCTGCTCTCCCCCACACCTCAACTCTTAGGTTTGGCACATGAGTGTTTGAATTATTTTCAGTTTTTTTGCTGATATAAAAAATAATGTGAAGAATATTTTAGTGCAGAACAAAGGTTTCTACCAACGATATTCTCATAAAATATTGTTTCATATCTTATTTTGTATATCTTTATAGATAAATTTGAAACTAATTCATTCCCATTAGCTTCTGTGCCTAATAACAAAACTAGGATTACTAAGTCTCAGTACTGGAGTCCTGAGTTCAAGGACCATTTTCAAATTTATTAAATGTTCATTAAATTGGCCATATTTTATTTTCATGCCCAATCTTACCCTTTCCAATTCTTGGGAGAAACTTCATGCTTGTTGTGTCATACCAGCAATGGCACTCCTTCCCTCAGTGGCTGTTCTCTCTGTATTTCTCTTAAACCCTTTCCCCCATCACATCACATCACATCTCTCTCATACACACCCCCACACACCGACACACACACACACACAGACATAAGAACACAATACACTATGTGTGTGAAAATACCACTTAGTCTGGCATTGCCCATGACAAAGTAGTCTGCTTAGGCTACCCACCTTAAGTTTGAAGTCATAAACTTCACAGTTTATGACCATATCCTCTGGAGTTTCAATGTCAGAGGTTCCTACATCATAGGACAAATCTAATCTGCAGAACCCAAAAACCTACAAATAAGAGAGAAGCCAGTTAGTGTGTGTGTGTGCGTGTATGCAGGTGATGTGTAGGTGTGCTAGAGTTGTGAACTTCCAGACATTCTGGAAAGGAAGGAGAGCTCTAGAAAAATCAGGGTAATATTATTAAGTATCGCCACCAGGTATTTAACAATATTTCCTAGTCAACACTTTGGGGGAAGTACAGGTTCCAAAGCTCTTCATAAGAATTTGCCGTGGTTCTTTTTAAATTTTTTTTTTATTAATTCTAGAAAGAGGAAGGAAGGGAGAAAGAGAGGAAGAAACATTGATGTGAGAAAGAAACATTGATTGTTTGTCTCCAACTAAGGACCGAACCCACAAACAAGGCATATGCTCTGACCAGAAATTGAACCTGTGACCTTTCAGTCTGCAGGATGATGCCCAACCAACTGAGCCACAACAGCCAGGGCATAAGTTGCTGTGGTTCTCTTCTATGACTGGTCACTAGCATTGGGCTTCCCCATGGGTGGTAGTAGGGAATATTATGCCCTTAATAGCTTGACTTTAGGCCAAGCCCCCTGCACTGAAGACCTGAATTGCTTGTGCCTAAAGAAAATGAAGAGTGGTGTAAAAGAAGAGATTTGTACAACTTTAACCAGTTCCTCAGAAAAAGGAGTTGGAAAGGAGAAAGCCAATTTAAAAACAGTTTTACAGACCTTGTCAAAAAGCAACTGTTTGCTGCCCTACCCTAAGTTTAGAGGTTACAACTGGCTGGCACCCCTCTGATCCATAGAATCCTAAACCCAGCTGTCACAGCTATAAGAAGAAAACTTTCTTTTAGAAGAGACTGTTAAGCATTGAATTTATGAGTACAGTTTTGGCATCAGACAGACCTACTTTAACCCTGGCTTCATCATTTACCAGTTGTGTGAGGTTTAGGTAAGTTGCATAAAATTTATGAAACTCAGTCTTTGTTTGTAAAATGGGTACAATACTATCTACCCACAGGTTGTGGGAGGGCTTAATTAAATAAGATAATTCTATAAAGCACTGAGCACTGAGCTCTTAACCAGCCTCCAAGTTTCTACACTGGATTTACATTAGCCATGTCGAGACAGTTAAAGGTGTGTTGGGATGGAAGTGGGAAAGATAGTGTCTTTTCCGGTGGCCACTAAGCAGGATTCTAGAACTACTTCAGGTTGAAAAGTTGAACAACAAGAAAAAGAATTAATAAATGCTTTCTCTCTTCCGGCCTTGGAGAACACATTGTTGTGCTCCAGAAAAATCCTGGACTTGAAATCAGACTAGCATTAAAATCCTATGTCCTAACACTTTCTAGCTAAGGGCCCATGGGTAAGTATTTAAACTTTTAGGCCCTTCTGTCCCAGGGAAATGGAAGCAGACACTTGTTTCTCCTCAATGGGGTTGTCACAGGGCTCTAACAAGGAAATAATATATATGGAAGTGTTTTGTAAACTATGAGTTACTGTATGAATGCTGTGTATCATTCATAACATCTTTCTGCAGACACATGAGTATCAATTTATAAATTACTAAGGGAAAAATCCCACTGGACTGAGCATAGAAATGGATTCTGATACCAGCTTTGTTGTGAACATCAGGCAAGACCCTTACTTTACTGATCCTATTACCTCCCCATTTATCAAATGGGATCACTATGAGGAGTAAATGAGATACAGTAAATGAAAGCAGCCCTGACTGTAGGTTCTTAATACATTCCAGTTACTAGTTTTAGCTAAGTCTTTAATCCTAATGAGTTAAAAAAAAAAAAAAACAACCTCAGTGTTAATTTTAGGTATATATCATGTATATTTAAAATGATATTCTCATGGTTCACTTAATTCTCCATGTTTCAGCTTCCCCATATGTAAATCAGGAATATAAATAATATCTGGTTCATAGGGGTAATGGGTTAACATATGTGTAAAGCCCTTACAAGGGTATCTGGCACATAATTAGTCTCTAAATATAACCCAGTATTTCACAGACATCTAATATACTCACATTATGGTGCCTGGGAAAATGGTGATGAGAGCAGTTCCTTACAGAGAAGTCCAGATAGTAATTGGTTCTTTCCCCTTCTCTCTAGAACAAATAGGATCAAAGGAGTTTCAGGAACATTAAAAAAAAAGGGGGGGCAGTAGATACCTGCTATTTAATATACTGTAAAGGCAATATGAGCATTCAAAATCACCAATATGTGCTATTTTTCTTATTGTATCTTCCCTTTTAAAATGTATCACATAAGTGATAAAGTGAATACTATTTCATTGAAAAAATTCAAATAATGCAGACATAATCAGGCATAGTGTGAAAAATCATTCTTCCTGCACTTCAGCCTGTTCTTCTCAGAGGTCCCACTATCATTCATCTGATGTGTCTTTCCTTCTAGCCTTTTCCTACATATGTTGTGTATATATAAATATATCTAATTACTTAATGTAAAGAGTCTCATAGTCTAAGTATTGTTCTGTAACGTGCCTTTCCCCTTAGCAATGTATCTTGAAACTCTTTCCAAAGCATATAGATCCAAAACATTCTTTTCAGTGATTGCACTGTATTCATTCCACTGCTTGTATGTACTATAATCTGTTTAATTTTGTGTTTTCAAAATACAAGACAACATCAACTAGCTTCTCTACCAGACCATTCCGTGTGGGAGGCACTTGCATCCCTGGACTGGGAGGAAGAACTGTCTAGCTCCAGCCATACCACTGAGCCTCTGTTTTCCATCATAATACAAGGAAGTTAGGACTAGGTGATTTTAATGATTCACATAACCCTAATATGCTCTTCTGTCTTTTGCTCATTTTTTTTGTCTGGGTTTCTTCCCCTCATTGTTAGATATCACATTCCTCACCACTCCCCAAAATAAAACATTGTAGGAGGGCAGTTCTGTGCTATCTGCTGCTTGTCTCTTGATACTGCAACAGGGATTCTCAATTTTAAGAACAGCTGATATTTTTCTTTCTTTTTCTGGCTTCTTCCACTTAGCATCGTATCCTCTAGGTCCATCCATATTGTCAAAATGGTAAAAAAAAAATCATTCTTTTTTATAGCCGAGTAATATTTCATTTACATATATATCACATCTTTCTCTAATTGTCTATCAATACACAATTAGGTTGCTTCCATATCTTGGCTATTGTAAAATAATGCTGCAATGAATATAAGAATGCATGTATCTTTTTGATTTATATATAGCTGAAACTAATACAGTATTGAATATTAAATGTAACTGAAAAAAATTTTAATTATAATAATAAAAACAGCTGGCTGAGTGAGGTGGCTGGAGAGGGTCAGTGCTACTAAATTTGCACCTGCAATATTGGAGCCTGGGCCCTCAGACTCTGGCTGGGCATTACTGCAGACTCACCACTCTTGCAACTTTCTCCACTTGGTCCACTCTGAAAGAGGCAAAGTCACTATTTTCCATTTTGTACTTCTCAAAGGCTTTCTCTGCTTCTTTTCTGTAGAGTTCAGTATCCTCAAAGAAATCAGACAGTACTGAGCTGTCTTTAGTGTTGGCCAGTGCAGAGAAGACTGGAGAAAGAAAACGGCAGTTTTGTGGTTATTGAGTTGGAAACAGCAATGTCAATGCTGTGACTTAATACATATAAGCATGGTAGCAAGAATGACAAAAACTTCCATTTTACAGATTGAAAAATTGAGGCTTGGAAATGCTAAGAAACTTGTTCCAGCAAATCAGCAGAGATAAACTTAAACCCAGATCCTTCTGATGCTCAAGTGTCTGTTGTGAACCTACTCGTGATACCTCACTTCCATCATTCATAGAGCATTAATATTTTAATGAATGCTTCCTATCTCTGTCAAGGAGGTGAAAGCATCATTAACATGGAGTCTTGCCCAGAGAGAGAAGATACAGCTCAATCTTCCTTAAGGCAACCTCCTGAAGGATTTGCTTGGTTGTTGAATTTTTGTATAATGAATCATGTTGAGATTTGCTATTTTTAAAAGAATTCTGTGCTAATTCTTTGTGGGAAAGTAAATAGTAAGAGGGCAGAATTTGTATTCAACACTAGTGGGGTAGGGTTATGTTTACTACATTTTTACTGTGTGCCTGAGGCCAAGTCTTTGAGCCTCTTTAAACCTCAGTTATTTCAACTCTAAAATAGAAAATATCATAACCTTCGGTCTTGTTGTGAGATTAAATGAGATGACATGTATAACTGCTTTGTAAACTGTAGTATCAATGTATGACTTAGATGCTAAGTGCTAAGTACTTTGGAAATATACTGCACAGAGCATCTGATTTAATTCTAACAAAAGTCCAAAAAGATAAGACTATTATTAGCTTTATTTTATAAATGAGGAATGCTTAAAGAGGGTAATTGCCCTCAAGACCCTACAACTTGTAAATAAAGAGGTTGAGATTTAAATTCAGGCAAATCTGACCCTAGAGCCTATGTTCTCTACAATGATGCTATACTGCCTTGTGTAGATTTCCTTTTACATATAGAATTTCTTTTTTAAAAAGTGCGCTGATATTACAGAGGAAACCCCTCTTGTTTCTTATCTCAGGAGAATAAGCAATAATCAATTCCATGAGCATAATAGGTATTTTTTAAATATGTACATCATAGTTTTATGTGTTACATAAAATTATGTATCATGAAACAATGATACATAATATGTATCTTTTTTAACATGTACACATAGTTTTATGTGTTAAATACCACTGTCTGATTCTATAGTAATCTAGAATTCTATAGTAATCTAGAATTAAGTAGCATTTTAATAGATTGCCATACCAGAGCTTGTGGTACAGTTGAAGTCGTTCACTCTAAGATCCTGAAATTCATTCAAGCATGTTGTAGCTATTACCTTACATTGCCCAATCACCTGTAAGAAAGAGGAGTTTGTTATTGCTTACTGCTTTCTTCAGGTTGGATATGAAAAAACAAAGAAGCGATACAACATACCCTACTATCCTCTTAAATCTATCTGTAGTTTCTCTTAACAAATCCTTTCAAAAACCTGTATTTTCTTAATCTGTTCCATGAGTTAGATGCTATAGGAATCCAAAACCCATAAGAGGACCAGGGAGAAACTCTTAAAGCAGATCATGGCTATATCTCAAACATTTTCAAGATGAAGCAATGCTAAAATTTCTAGGTATGTAAATGTCTTATTTCTGGAACTGAAATCTTAGATCTGTGCTTTTTCATCTTTGTGTTCTCCTCTTGTGGCAGAGATCCTGGGACCTGAGTACCCACATTCAATTTGCAGAACAAGACCCCATTCCTCATGGTAATCGAAACTAATGCCTTTGGCCATTCCTGCTAATGGAACTAGCCTTCATCAGATACGATTACAAGTTCATAGGTTCCTAAACCCATAGACTGTCAGGGCCATAAAGGATCTTAGAGTTTATCTACTCTAAACTCTTTCCCTTATTTTAAAGCTAAGAAGACAGATGTCGAGCAACATTAGGTGCTTTGCACAAGGTCTCACAGCTGGTCATGCTATACCAAGGGACCACGAGCCCCAGTGACTTACTTTGAATGGGGTTTGTAGATACGTCTCTCAAGAGAATATTAATCAAGGCTGACATAATCTTCATGAGTCAGAACACAGAAACTGGTCTTACTCTATAGCAGTGTTAGCCTAGGCATATAACCACCCTGAGTAGATAGAAGTCAAGAATGTAAGAAGAGATGGTGCCATGGTTACTTACTATATCGGATGGACGTCTAGAAATAGCTGCCTCACAGTCATCCCAGTGTTTCCTGGACTGGACCGGGCAGCCTGTTTCTTTCACATCTAAGACTAAGTAATAGACAGCTATGGAGTCCTAAGAAATTCCAAGAAAGCAACATGTGAGTAACATGTGGGTGCCTCGTATGTTTTCAATAGAAGCAATCCCTTGATTTCTTTTTTTTTAATCATCACCAGAAATATGTTTTTTATTGGTTGGAAATAGAGAGACACATTGAAATGAGAGAAACACTGATCCTCCTACCCCTCCCTGTGGAACGTGTTGCTTTGAAATGTCTCATGTCTTTTCTTCATTTTTATTGACCTCAATTTCACTGCTTGGGTCTGGTCTTCATGTCCTCATCCCTAAACATGTGAAATAGCTTTATAGTTCATATTCATGTCACCTGCATCCATCTCCCTGGCACATTGTGCTCCTCCTCACTTATACTACATTTAGAGGTACCACTGGACCGATTCATCCTGTGTCGTACAATGTGGCAGAGAGCCTGGAATAAAACTAGTAACCACTGAATTGTTGATTGAGTCCTAAATCCCTGCACTCATTCTCAGTAACCTGTAGTGCCTCCACATCTAATACTTTCAAGTATAAAGTTATCTGCTTGTCCTCTGTGGTGCTCTATTGTCTGACCTCCTTGATTTTAGTGGTTCTCCAAAAGGGTAGTTTATTTTGGGAGGTTAGGGAGGGAGGCTGCCCTCCATAATCTCTGTCAAGCCCTAAAATCTACTCCAAATAAGCATATGATCTAAGTCAGTGATTTTCTTTCTTGTTTTTAATCATTTTTATTGTTGTTTGAATACAGTTGTTTCCCTTTTCCCACCACCACTTGCCCTTGCCCCACCTACCCCTACCTCCCACCCTCAGTCCTATCCCCCTTTGGCTTTGTCCATGGGTCCTTTATACATGTTCTTGATGACCCTTTCCCTTCTTTCCCCCATCATCTCCCTCTCTTCTCCCCTCCAGTTACTGTCAGTTTATTCTTTATTTCAGTGTCTCTGGTTCTATTTTGCTTGTTTGTTTGTTTTGTTGATTAGCTTCCACTTATAGATGAGATCATATGATATTTGTCTTTCACTGTCAGGCTTATTTCACTTAGCATAATGCTCTCCAGTTCCATCTATGCTGTTGAAAAGGGTAGGGGTGCCTTCTTTCTTTCTGCTGCGTAGTATTCCATTGTGTATATGTACCATAGTTTTTTGATCCACTCATTTACTGATGGGCACCTATGTTACTTCCATCTCTTGGCTATTGTAAATTTTGCTGCTATGAACATTGGGTTCACAGATTCTTTTGAATTGGTGTTTTGGGAGTCTTAGGGTATAATTCCAGCAGTGGAATGCTGGGTCAAAAGGCAGTTCCATTTTTAGTTTTTTCTTTAGGAAATTCCATACTGTTTTCCTCAGTGGCTATACCAGACTGCATTCCCATCAACAATGTGCTATGGTTCCCTTTTCTCCACAACTTTGCCAGCACTAACAAGTTGTTGATTTGTTTATGATGGCCATTCTGACCAGTGTGAAGTGATATCTCATTATGGGTTTAATTTGCATTTCTCTGATGGCTAGTGGTACTGAGCATCCTTTCATATGTCTCTGGGCCCTCTGTATGTCCTCCTTGCAGAAGTGTCCGTTCAGGTCTTTTGCTAAGTTAGTGATTTTCAACCTTGTACATCTCATGGCACACATAAACTAATTACTAAAATTCTACAGCACACCAAAAAAAGTTTTCTTGCTGATCTGACAAAAAAATGGTATAATTTTGATTCATTCATACCAGGTAACTATTGTTATGTTGGCTGTTAGCATTTTTTTTTAATTTGATAATCTAAGAAGAAAGAGGTTAGTGCCCCAAACTAAATAGTCAGGTATTGCGTGTTTTATAAATTCTTGTGACACACCAGTGTGCCTCTTGCAACACACTGGTTGAAAATTGCTCATCTAAGTGTAGACGGCAGGCTTGCTTTGCATCAAGATAAGCCTACATTCTTTTATTTACCCTGCTATCTGTGCCAAATCTCATATAGAGCCTCTAGAATACCCCTGCTTGTGTTTAATTACTCCCTAATACTATCCTTCCTAATTTCTTACCCACATAGAGGTGGTATTCCTGTAATTCCCAAGGCCATCTTCATATTCAAACTGTGCTTATTTGCACAGACCCAAATAAAGCTTTCTCTCATTCAATTATAATAGATCACATTTCATTAAATTGTCCAGCATCCATACCACTCATTTGGTCATTTAAATGCATCTTACCTTACACAATTTGTCTATATGTGTGTGTCAGCTGATGATTATTCCCATGAGGACAAGCACCACAGTTCAGTCTAATTTTTCTCTTATAGTACTTAGCATTTGATTGGACTCAGCATCAGTGCTATAAGTATTCACAGATTGATTCACAGTTAAGGACATACTAATAACAAATGTTAGTTTGAAAAAAATAAAGCAGTTTAGAGCCAGTAGCAGAAACTAAATAGAAAACCCTAACCAAAGCCATTCCATTGTGCAAAGCAATAGGCTTACAGGCCAGAGTCTCCACATTTGCCCCTGGTGCATGGTTTTCCAACTAAGCTCTGCCATCGGCACTTTCTTACCACTTTGTCCAAGTGGGCATCAGCGACCCTCAGCAACTGGAAAAGGTAGCCATTTCGACGTCCTTTATTGATCAGGTCTAGAGCTTTGCCAGCCAGGGGCTCAGTAGCTTTGCAGTCTGTCGGACTCACAGCACGGGAATACTGCAGGGTGATCAAAAGGATGAAAAGCACAGCTGCTGCAAATGCCTTCATCGTGTTAAAATCTGAAAACCATCCCTTGCTATGGTATACCACAGCAGAGAAATTCCTTCAAACTTTTAAATACACACAGCTACTATTTAAATGGTTTTTTATCAATTTTTGTTGTGTAACCAGGGATGTTCACCTTGACCCCTGGTTAAAATGTCTGTCAACATGCTGTAAATGATTAATGGGTCCTGGGGACAGAATGTTGAGATGTTCTGGTGAGTGGGTGAAACTGTGATCTGCACAAATCTGGATATTTGTAGTCAACACCAGATCCACAGTGTGTTTTTGACCATAAGCACTTCCTCGTTAGTGTGGGCAGTAGGGTTAGGAGTAAAGTAATTTTCCTCCATCTGCCTGCCTATCTCAGCCAGAAATTACCATTATGAGTTCCCTCTTTGGACGATAGCACTAGAAGACTTTAGTAGAAAGCAGCTGTATTACTTAAGGGAGAGGTCTCAGGGTGTCCACCCTTTTGGCATCTCTGGGCCACACTGGAAGAAGAAGAGGTGTCTTGGTCTACACATTAAATACACAAACACTAACAAAAACAACATAATCTCATAAGATTTTAAGTAAATTTACAATTTCATATTGGGCCATATTCATAACCATCCTGGGCCCCATGCAGCCCGCGGGCTGCAGGTTGGACACCCCTGTTCAGATGGTTAACACTGAAAAGGAACTGAGTTCAGGTAGAACAGAATGATTAAGATGTTGTTGCTTTGAAGTCAGATCTCAATTTCAATTCCACGTTGTTATGCTCCTACTGTGTGATTCTGGGTAAGCTATGAAACTTCTCTGAGTCTTAGTTTCCTCATATATAAAGTGGGAGTTAATACCTCTTAGCAAGATGGTATAATAATTAAATAAGAAAACATAATGTAACCAATACAATTCTTGGCACGAATTCAGGTGCTGAATAAATGACACTACTTATTATCGTTGTTGTTTTTGTTATTCTTATTATGCTTGAGAAGAAGTTGGGGACACCCCATATCTTCCCGGTTTTCCATGGCCCTTAAAGTGTGGCCCCAAAAAATTGGTTTATGTGTAAAAAAAACCATAGTTAAGGTAGAAGTCAAGCCATTTGATGCCCACCCATTCCAGAGAAGTAGTTAGAGAGACTATATCATTGGGCTAGGGGCTCAGAATTGGGGTACAGAGCTGGGACTAAGCTGATTCCTCAGCCCTCAGCCCAAAAAACTCAAATAATTTTTTGATCCACTCATTTACTGACAGGCACCTAGGTTGCTTCCAGCACGTGGCTATTGTAAATTGTGCTGCTATGAACATTGGGGTGCATAAGTTTTTTGGATTGGTGCTTCAGGGCTCTTAAGCACATATGTATCTTTTGAAGTATGAGAGGTATTATGTGCTGAACTGTGACCCCCAAAATTCATATAAGGAAGTCCTAGCCCCCAGTACCTCAGAATGTGACTATATTTGGGTATGAAGTCTTTAAAAAGGTAATTAAATAAAATGAAGGTATTAGAGAGGGATCTAATCCAATATGACTGGGGTCCTTATAGGAAGAGGTGATTAGGACACAGGAAAGACCATGTGGGGACACAGAGAGAAAGTGGCCACCTACAAGCTGAAAAGAGAAGCCTCAGAAGAAACCAACCCTGTGACACCTTGATTTCCAACTTGTAGCCTTCAGCACTGTGAGAACATTAATTTTTGTTGAGTCACCCAGTTTGTGGTACTGTGTTATGGCAGCCCCAGCAAACTAATACGATAGGAAATTTGCAGATATAACTATTGCCCTTTGTCCTGGCAGCTGCTTCTTAGAAGAGGCACCTAGGCTTTGGCATAATTTGCTTAAGAGGAGTAGGCAATATTCACACACAATTACTCTTCTCTGCTTCCTATATGAAGGAAAAATAAGTAGGGTGTCATGTGGAGTTTTAAACCCTGTGTCAGTCATAGTCTGGCAAGAAATACAATTTTACTCAGATAGTTTAACTGAAGAGACTTTATCAAAGGGAATGAAATTTTATGGGCCAAGCTAAGGGAACAACGGGTGCTGAGACAGCTGCAAATGAGCAACAACAGCTGGAGACCTTGACCACTCTAGGCCTGAGAAAGCTGGAGGCAGAGTGGCCCTGCCCAAGCCCAGGGGGAGCTGGAGCTGTTGGAGGAGGGGCCCCTTGGCAGCAACAGCCTGGGCGAGGGGTGGAGCCACTGCCAAAGCCTAGTGCTGAAGCTGGCAAGAGCAGGGAACAAACACCCTGATCTCTCCACCCCTCTGATAGCCTCCTCCCATTGGCTTTTTGACCCCAGTAGTCAACTAGCCTGCAGGGGAGCCTGTGGGTTACTCAACCCACAGGAATTGGCCTCCTGAAAAGACGAAGAATGGACCGGGGGGCAAACAGAGGAAAACCATTGCTAGCCCTACACAGAATTTCCCAAATGTGTTCAATAACACCCTCATATACTTTTTTTTCCAGTAAAAATGGGTGGAAGGACCCTGGACTTTGTGTCCTTTTCTTTGTGTCCCTTGCTGAATGGACAAGAGTACCATCAACAGAGAGGATACAGAAGGAAAAGTAGGTTTGACTGAGGAGTTGCTGAGTTGACCTTCTTAAATTCAAAGGAAGCATGATTGTTGACACTTACCCTCTTTCAATCATCTGACAATGCTGACTCTTGTTCTTTCTTTAAATTTCCTCAGGTAGACTTTGTCCTACATCCAGGTCCTTCCCCTACCCTTCTGACAGTTTCTCCTAAGGCATTTAGGTTTCTCTTTGGTTCATCTCTTAGATGCTATTTCTCTAGTTTTTGATGCTTGATTTTTTTTCTTCCTCTGAAAACTTCATGCAGGCAAGCTGATCAATAGTCTTGTCAATAGTCTCAAAATGCTGCAATCACTAATCATTTGAGGCCCTCGTATTCAAATAATTGGTGTTTGCAAATCGCTGATGTTAATCTTCTATGCTACAACTTCAAGATATGGACATTTCTAGTTACGTAGTATTAAAAGTTCTTTTTGATGAATCTTTAAAAGTAACTTCTTTAAAAATAAGAAAATGAGCCCTCTTCCGGGCCCCTGGGAACCAAGCAACCACGGTTCGACCCTCCACTCCGGCAGGCATTCTCTCCCTCTCTCCTTCCTTTCCCCTCTAAAGATAAATAAATGAAATCTTAAAAAAAAAAATAAGAAAATGAGTGACCCCTCCTCCCCTCTAGCTACTGGGGAAGGGTTTTCAGGAACTACTATAAAGGACGCATGGACAAAACCAAGGGGGAAGGTGGAAGCAAGGAAGGGTGGGTTTGGCTGGGGTGGGGGGAGTGGGAGGAAGAAATGCAGACAACTGTAATTGAACAACAATAAAATAATTTTAAATAAAATAAAATATTCAGGGAATGAAATATTGGGGAGCTATGAGATAGTAGAAATAAACTTTCTAAAATTAAAAACATACATGTGTATATAACTATATATTACATATATTTTTGTGTGTATATATGCATATGAATGTATTATATATATAACATGTATATAATATTACATGTTATATATATATATTTGTTTGTTTGTTTGTTTTTTTCTTTTAAGTGAAAAATTTGGGAATGAATGTTATCTGGGCTGTTAATTTCTTCTCTGAGCAAAACTATTAAGTAAGCCAGACAGCTCCCGAACTTGGAACAATATCTGATTCTCCCCAAGCTGAACCAAAGGCCACAGGCAACAGTCTCTTCCTGTACCCCATTGCTGAGTTACTTCACCCAGTTCTGGGCTTGGAGGCTATTCAGACAGGTAAAAAAAAATCCACCTTCATGCTGAAGGCTGTGCAGACAATATCTGACCAATACTTGGTGTTAAAATAATTATGAAATAAAGAGAGTGTGAAACTGTGATTAATCTCAGTCTCTTAGTACCCTTCAAATTTCATCTCATTTTGATCAAAAGAATCCCAGTATGCTCTTTCCCAAAAAGAGGAGGGAATTCCTAAGTATGGCAGGTTCTACATCAGAGACATTTAGCTAAATGTCAATAATCATTACAAAGGAAAAGGTGGAATACGTAAGTGGCATCTACCCACAGAAGGATATCTTGGATGGTTTAGGAGGTATACAGCTCATTGTACTAGTGGAGGATTTCATGTCATTTCCACTTCCAGCCAAAATGATGAGACCAAGAAGAGTCAAAACCACACACTTTATTAGCCACTGTCTACATTCAAACACTTTGTCTCTCCGTCTCCCTTCTCTCCATGACCTCTCGTCTCCCACCCAGTGCTGCATCCACATGGAATTCTCCATGTGGTTCTCATGGTGGGAGAACAAGCGGGCTGGCGTCTTGGGCTGGTCCTGGGCACCCAGCAGAGTGTTGCTCTTTGGGAGGAAAAGGCAGGACAACCAGCTTCTTACTCACAGGCTCCAGGAAGAGGAAGGAAACATCGAGGGTTTCTCCCTGGGGATTTGTGGTTAGATCCAGCTGCACAGGGAAGGCCTCAACAGGACCCTTTTCCTGGGAACCTTCAGGCTCCTTATCATCCAGTTCAGGAAGGTACTGGACAGACCCTCTTGGCACAGCTCTAGAGGGTGAGTGAGTGGGTTCTGCATTTTTCTCCTGGGCCTTTTCCACATTAGGGAGGTTCACAGGTCCCTGGTTAGCAGTAGAAGTTTCACCCCCAGGGGTTGGAGCCTGAAATAATAACACTTTTAATAAGGGGACTTTCCACCTAAGAAATCTCTGCTGTGCCTGGTACCAGGCTAAAGTGTTCTGTGCCTTTCTGACAGAGTGTTTCAAAGGGATACCAGCTAGAGGTATGGGCCTCTGGTTAAAGGGTTATGAAGCAAAACAGATAAGGGCCAGGGGGAACTAAGACTGGTAGAAGCTTGATTGCAAGTCTCACAAATCTAGGATGGAACAATGAAGTTAAATGGAGTATTCAAAGTCCCCAATGAGCCATCTCCCTGCTCCTAGTAGTGGCAGCAACAACCACCTTTTACTAATTGTTTATTCTGTGCCAGGTCCAATACAGTGTCCTTATCCAGGTCTTCTCACTTGCTTCTCTCAGGGAACTAAATGAGGTAGGCACTGCAATCCCATTCATATATGAGGCAACCATCAC